GAAAACAATCATAACAGACAATATATATATATATATATATATATATACACACTCACAGACTACAAGGTGTCTCCAGAGGCTATGTCAAAGGTGTTGCTAAAAGCAATGACTGCAGAAGAGGCAACCACATTTAAGTAACTTGGAATATACTAAACTTGGGCAGGTCTTTAGAGAGAAGAGTAGATGAGAGAAATATATTGTAAGCTTAGCATTAAAATACTTGGCAGACACATTCAAACGCGGAGTTTCTGTGTCTGAAATAGTCAATGTAGATTTAACAACCACTTGGTAGGTACTCTTGTCCAGATAAATAGTTCACCTCCAAATTACCGACCCTTCAACATGGTAAGTCTGAAACTGATAGGTTTAGAGAACATGTCAACAAGAAATTGTTTCAAACTATTTCAAAACTAGTGAAGAAGATGAAGAGTCATTTTTATTTTGGTACAAGTTAGTTTAGAAGTAAGGTAAGACGATTAAGTACGGGAAGAACACATGTAGAGCAGCCATCTATTCTAACACAGAATATATCAAATGATCTCGCTACAGTTCTCACCTGAGAAGAACGTAGGGAAGAGACTTGTTTTTGTAAGGAAATGTTTTCATCTTCCAGTTCATTATTATCATTGAAAAGTCTTCCTTCTCTCAGTTTCATTTCTTTTAGCTCAGATTTTAAATTTTTTTTCTCCCATTCACTGACTTCATTTTGTTTGGACAAATCTAGATAATCCTGGTGGATACGATCTCTCTCTGCTTCTACTCGAGCTAACTCTTGCTTCACCTAGTAAATTAGAAAAAATAAAAATTGTTGAAATGGTCTAATCATTCTATGATCATGTGATTTGCATATACATATATATATATATATATATATATATATATACACACACACACACACACATATATATATATATATATATTAGATAAATATACATATATACACAATGCATGAAACAAGTTAAACCTGTCAACATCACATTCATGTAATATGTAAAGCTAAGCTTGTGTCTGTTTGTTTACACTTTCAGCCATCTGTACCTTATACATTTCCAAATTTCATCAGCACACAACTTGACACAGTGATACAGGTTAGCATTTGTTACACACAAGTTTTTATTTCACCCATCCAACCAGATAGGTACTCCAGGTAGTAGAAAATAAACATTAAACTGTATAATGAAATTTAAGGTGAAACAACATAAAATGTTTTCATGGAAAATATCTACAGTCTGAAACACATCATGAAAGATTACTTACAGATACAAGTACAAATCACTGAAAAAATTATCCAACAATTATAATATTAAAAGTCTGAAACATATCATGAAAAGATTACTTGTAGATACAAGTACAAATCACTGAAAAAATTATCCAACCATTACAATATTAAAAGTCTGAAACATATCATGAAAAGATTACTTGCAGATACAAGTACAAATCACTGAAAAAATTATCCAACCATTATAATATTAAAAGTCTGAAACATATCATGAAAAGATTACTTGTAGATACAAGTACAAATCACTGAAAAAATTATCCAACCATTACAATATTAAAAGCATTTCTTCATCAATAAATATCATCCTATGTCAGTAGTAATTAACATTTTTCAGAATTCCCTTGACTTATTGTTTGTTCACACATGCAAAAACATATAGAATATTATTGTATTCATAACACAGGTATACTTTCATGTACACATATATGTAAATCTTAAAATGTTTATCATAGTGTTAAAGACAATCAAACACTCACCATACTAAGGACTGTAACCAAATATACAAGAATTGTAGTTTACTTCCTACTTTTCTACATTGTTAATATACACATGAATTGTAGTTTACTTCCTACTTTTCTACATTGTTAATATACACATGAATTGTAGTTTACTTCCTACTTTTCTACATTGTTAATATACACAAGAATTGTAGTTTACTTCTTACTTTTCTACATAGTTAATATACACATGAATTGTAGTTTACTTCCTACTTTTCTACATAGTTAATATACACATGAATTGTAGTTTACTTCCTACTTTTCTACATAGTTAATATACACAAGAATTGTAGTTTACTTCCTACTTTCTACATTGTCAATATACACATGAATTGTAGTTTACTTCCTACTTTTCTACATTGTTAATATACACAAGAATTGTAGTTTACTTCCTACTTTTCTACATTGTTAATATACACATGAATTGTAGTTTACTTCCTACTTTTTTATTTATACAGTGAATGTTCCATGCTCTTGGCACTTGTTTCAAAACATGCTACAGGAGTAAAAATAAACGAGAGTTAGATTTATAATTTCTTTTCAGCCATATTGTGTTTATATATTAAGAGTAAAACACAAAATCTGACACTGTTTGGCATAAAGAAATGTAAAATCTTTATTAGTGGTTACAGCCATCACCAAGGCTAGTGTCTACACACACTGTTACCATCATCAAGGGTAGTGTCTACACACACACTGTTACCATCATTTGAGCTAGTATCTACAGACACTGTGTTACCAAAATAAAGATTTCACCTTTCACTGGGCCAAAAACACCAATTTTGTATTTTTTTACTCCTGAATAGTTAGATTTAGTTGTATTCGAAGTGAATTGTAACTAACAATTTAGCTTACTGACCAAACTGTACATAAACAATGTAATAAAGAAAAGTATCATCTGTAAATTAGATGTACATCTGCAGAGTCACCAAAACTGTTCTCTTTCAAGATTATATAAAACCAAAATTAAGAGTAACAAATATTTTTATTTCTTGCTTTTTAAGTTCATGTATCACGCTGTATTGTAGCCTACAGAGTGCATAATTCTTCTGTGATTCATGGCATGTGCACATTTTACTGACATCATGACAGTACAAATTGAAACTTTAAGCATCCCTTATGTGATGTCATTTTAGTGTCTACTGACTGACAGACAACACACTACTGTATACTGGTAAAAGTGGTTAAAACAGATGACCCTTCCAGGCAGCCTTTGGCCACTTTTCAGGGAAATAAAGAACTTTAATAGTCAATAAAAGGTGTATATGAAAAGGGTAATTTACCAAAATTACAAAAAAAAGGAGGGAGCTTTTGAAAAATTACAGTTTTTTTCTCCAGATTACTTTCTAGTTCCAATAAATGCCTTCATATCTTTTCTAAATCCATTTCAGGCATAACTTAAACAAGAATCACAGTTTACCTGTTTTATTTCTCGCTCTAGTTCTTGAACAGTTGAAGTGAAAGAAGCTTCTTTATGGGCTGTTTCTTTCAGCAAGCTTTCTTCCTGCTCAATCCCTGTGGTTGCTGACACTTTCTGACTTGTCTGGGATTTTGCAAATGCCTGTAAATAAATTTTATGTGACACATTCATCAGTCCACAAGTCACTAACTGCAATGTACTGTGATGACATATTACTCTTAAAACACAGCTATACTTTACATCAGGTTCACTGGTTTTTATAAAGAGCCGAACTTGTTCCAATAAATTAACTGTAACTGATATATGGAAATAATTTGAAATTTCAATACAATTTAATACAAATAAGGCTTTTAAATATTCTAACATCTCTAAAAAGTTTATTTTAGGATTTTAACCTACATAAAATTAAACATTAATTTTTCACATATGATGTATGAGATGTGACAAAAATATACTCATCATTTTTCTCATGTACCTAACATAAGTTTACATATTTTCTTTGTTACACTCACTTCTTTTAAACAATCTAGTTCATGTTTGGTCCCATCAAAAAGTGCCTCAAGCTCTTCACACCTTTGCTGGAGTGCTTCTTTTTCATCCAGCAACACTAAACCATATTGGGCAGACTGGATCTTTTCATGGCTTGTCTGGGCCAGCTCACGATGAAGTCGCTCCAACTCATCTTTAAGGCTGTCTCTTTCAATAGTCAACTCACTAATCAGTTTCTCTGAATCCCCCATTGTAAAGAAAGCGTTCTCTATTATAACTGGAATGTCACAAAAAAGTAATCATTTACATTATAACATACTTACGTATGTGTTTCATTTATCAATTATGTTTTCTGAATAATCATTATCATAATAACAACTATTAATCTCTAAATCCAATCTGTACTTACACTAAAGTGGAACTTAAGCCTAGAATTGCAGATGAAGTCTATATGAGCCCCACCCATTTTTGAAATAAATTTCTCCAAACTATTTATGCATCAAGTTGCTTATGGTCCATGCCTTATTAGTTACAGAGCTACTAACAACATACACCAGATAAAGAACTGTTTAAAAAAGCAGAAAATACTGCAAGTAATTATTGATAGGGTCCACCATACATTTTACATAGAATATTATTGACTTCATCCAATATACTTTAAACCACATTAACAATATTTATATCAACATACCATAAGATTTATCACCTCCTAACTTTCTAGTTGTTAAATACTTTGAAAGTACAAAGGTATCTAATACAAACATAACCCTAAAGTACTTTCATGATTTAACATACATATATAACAAATGAAAATACATGTACGCTTCCATGAAGCTCATTGTCAGTAGTAACAATATATTCCAAACATAACACTTACTCATGCAGATCACTAAGTTTGGGGACTGATACAGTAAGCAATATACAGTAAATACTATTATTCTGGTATCTAACTATATGGATTAGACCATTTATATGCTTAACAATCAAATACCTATATCAAAGGTTCTGTTTACCCAGAATTCTATGTCATATACAAAGGATATTTTGATAAAATACAAAAGCATAACAGAACTATGATTTTAAAATACAGATGTAACAAGACTTACCGGTTTAACTTGAAAGTATGTTTTGTGTAAGCCAGATATAAGAAGACATACTGGTTTAAATTACAGTGCTTTATGTAATGCAGATGTAGCAAGACTTACTGGTTTAAATTACCAAGTATGTTTTATGTAACGCAGATGTAACAAGACTTATTGGTTTAAATTACCAAGTATGTTTAATATAATGCAGATGTAGCAAGACTTACTGCTTTAAATTACAAGTATGTTTTATGTAATGCAGAAGTAACAAGTCATACTGGTTTAAATTACCAAGTATGTTTCAAGTAATGCAGATGCAACAAAACTTATGGGCTTAATATGTTTAATGTAATGCAGATGTAGCAAAACTTACTGGTTTAAATTACCAATTATGTTTTATGTAATGTAGAAGTAACAAGACGTACTGGTTTAAATTACCAAGTATGTTTTATGTAATGCAGATGTAACAAAACTTATTAGTTTAAATTACCAAGTATGTTTAATACAATGCAGATGTAACAAGACTTATTGGTTTAAATTACCAAGTATGTTTAATATAATGCAGATGTAACAAGACTTATTGGTTTAAATTACCAAGTATGTTTAATATAATGCAGATGTAACAAGACTTATTGGTTTAAATTACCAAGTATGTTTAATATAATGCAGATGTAACAAGACTTATTGGTTTAAATTACC